TTTTTTTTTTTTTTTTTAATTAGATCCCTATCAATGCACAGTTATTATTTAACAATTATCTGTTCAACAGTATTAACATGTCTCAAAACACACTCATCTTTGTGCTTTAAAACTTTTATATTTACAAATGTATATTTATCTTGTAAAGAATGGGAATTACAGAAAACAAAATACTGAGCAATTAATACAGACTCATCAATATGATTATTTAAGATAGAAGCTAAAAAAGTATTGTGATTTCAAATTATAATAAAACTGTAAAAATATTATAAAGTTTACAATTGCTTAATTTACAAAGTCATGAGGGAAAATGTTACTGTACCCTTTAGGTGTTAGAAACTTGTGTCAAGAACTGTGGAAAGAAATTTCATGTACTAGTGATGCAGAGAGATTTTGTTATGGACTTGGTAAAATTGATTGGGCCAAAAAATAACCCACCTATTGTTGTCCAGGAAAAAGTACTTAGCCTAATACAAGTGAGTATGGTGTTAACATAACACTTGTTATAAGAAGATAAGGCTTTGAGGAGATAATGTTTTATGTGGAATATTTTATTGCTGATTTATTTAATTTTCCACTGAAAATAATGTTGTTGAGTGTGTTAACTCTAACCATTTTTTTAATCTAATGGCCTCTAGTGTCTCATATCAAGAAAAAGTGTCATTTTTTTTATGACAATAAGTGTGATCATTGAACATATTATTTTAAAAATTTGTTATAATCTTTAAGTGAACTCAAACTATTGGAGGATCAGTTTACAAAATAAAACAAATTTTGATTTTTTGAAGCTTATTTTGAATATTAAATTTCATGTTAAGATTGCAGCAAATAGTTTAGTTTTTCTTTATACTTTGTAATCCTTACTAACTACAGTGTGTTTTTTATCAGAAAATTAAGCCAATTTGTTCTCTGATATCGAGTATTATGGACTTGTGTCAATATGTTATTTGTAGATGGCCCTCAGAAAATTGTCAATTCTTATAAAGATGCGTCTTTTTAATTTTTATTATTAATCTAACATTCCCATAACTAGATCAGATGTATGACTTAAGTAAAAAACAGTGAATCATTTCACTGTGTTCTCTCTAAGTGCATCCTATGTATCATATATGGTTTAGAACAACTTTTATGATACTTTGTTTTTCTGCTAGAATATCACACAGTACATCCTTTTAGGTATTCCAAGTTATCAGCACTGTTATGGGTGTTTTTATTTTTCCTTTATAACCTGTGTGTGAATCGATTAAATACACAGATAATCCCTAATTGGATGGTATATTTGAGAAATTATACTATCATCTAAGCATCTAAATAATAGATCTAGTGATTCATTTAGCTCTTTTTTATAGATAACAGATATGCTACTTCTTATGAAGTTATTTGATTTTAAACAGGAGGATCATTTTTCTTGTCCAACAAGTTTGAGTTATGATTTTGAACTATATATACAAGTTGAAAAAGAATGAAAAGATATTTTTATCACTGTGATGATATTAGATATTTTATAAATATTTTTTTAAACATTTGTGTTTTTCATTGGAGTGGAAATTTCTTTATATGTATGAATACCAATTATTTGATAAATATAAAAGTAGTACCACTTTTTTACCCTACTCTTTGAGATGATAAAAATCCTGAGGGTGACAATCCTAGAATTGATCATCCATTCAGGTTATTGAGGTTCTTTACAGTTCTGCTAAACAAACTTTGAGTTCAGCTTGATGCTGCTCCTGGAAATGATCTTGGTACTTCTAACATTAATCATACTTCTTGTTTTCACTACTAGGTTATATGTAATTAAATTAGAAATAGTACACAATTGCAAACCTATAATTCTGAAGTCTCTGCAACCATACTGTCATCTCATCCATTATTAAACTGTGCAGCTATATTTGAAGAGTAAACTTTTTAGTCCTGAAGAATTATTTTATCGATACAAATGAAATAATGCTCAACGAATATACAAGTTACTTTTATTATGTCTGAGATGAATACATCTTCTTTGACAGAATTGCTAGTATCAGTATCTATAATCTTTTGAACATTGAGCTAGATAATCTAAAATAAATGTTAAAGCATGAGCTCCTTTCTCAGATTAGTACACACTTCTCTTGTTGCTACTGGCCTCAATGTTGTTTTGGACTCTCTAGGTTATAAATAGTGAAGAATGGATTGGGTAGTTGCCCTTACAAGTTAATCATTATTGCTGGACTAAAATTAATGACACTTTTTCTTTTGGTGAAAAAAGAAAAATTTCGGGTATGCTTTGATTAAACTGTTTATTTTGTTAAATAATGATTTTAATTCTTTCTCAATAATATGACTTACCTTTTTTGATTTAATATTATAAAGGTATCATTATTTAACTTGAGATTTTTTCAGCTGAACAAGAACTGGATTATAAAAAAAAAATTGCTAAATTGATAACAAAGCATAATCTTAAGAATCATTTAAAATTCCACATACTTGGCTTTAACCAACTTTGAATGTGAATGATGCTTTCCTTTGCAGAATTTTTGGATGTATTTTTTGTACTAATAGCCTAGTCAAAAAAAAAGTATAAAATAATGAAATGCATCTGAATGGATTGGTTTGTATATTTGACTTTCTTTACAGACAAAAAGTACTTTTTGCAAGAGTTGACTGAAGGACTTTTAACATGTGGATTTTTGATTGAAGCTAATTAGAACTTCGTGCATGTTCAATAAATCTCAAAGTTAACTGTAACATTTACGAGGTCCTGAAACTAAACTGTCCTAGAACATTGATTGGTGTGCAAAAAAAAAGGCCAAAGTGTCAGGGAAATAGTTTTTCTTTCATATTTTTTTCCCCAAATCAAAGTTGCTACACAATGAAATGTTTGTTGCTTTAAAATACTGTTTCAGTAGACTGTTGTGCAAATAGCCAAGTATATAGGTAACATAGCATTATACTTAAATTTTTGACTTTTATATATCTACCAGGATTGAGTGTGGTGTGGTGGTTAGTTTGCTAGGATACAAATCAGAAGCTTGAACAGTTGAGCCACTTAATACACTTTCAGTTGAAGAGTCATCATAACTGGGACATTTAATGTTGTTATATAGAGTATCCACACACACATTGAGTATTTCTGACTGATTGTCCCCCTTCTGTTCAGCATTTCTAAATTAGGGATGGATAAGCCTGAGCACTAAGGTGTGTCTGTTCTGGCCATTTAGTTTGTATTATAAAAGGTGCCATTCAGGTTAGAAATGCCAAATACCATACGATAAATCTACAATAGTTTTAAGCATTTCATGTGTATCTGTATGTTAATTAATTTTGAAAACTAATATTTACCAATCTTGTCTAATTATTTTCAACTGTATTTATTATTTATATGTATTGGTTATATTTTTGTATGTACTATTTAAATTATAATTTTGCAAATAATTTTTACCATATCTTGCTGTTATGACCAGAGCTGGGCCGACGCTTTCCGATCAAACTTAGAGATGCAAGGGGTTGTACAAGTTTATGAGGATTTAAAACAAAAAGGTGTAGAGTTCCCAATGACGGACTTAGATACCATGGCACCAATACATACACCAAAAAGAGTAGGTCAACATTCTTTTTATTTTCTTTTACTCAAGTAACTAGTAATTTTTAATTTTTCTTTGTAGTGTAAGTATAATAAGTAAATGGAATGCATTGAATCAAGTAGATGTGTAGTACTGTCAAGAAATTTGCACTTTATTCAGAAAATATTTTTATTTCTTGTTTAAACACTTACAAGTGTACCATAAAATCTTTTTTTTTTTCTATGAAAGATTTTCTAGAATTAAAAATAGGTTCTATGACAACATTGTAAATGATAATGGTATAATAAATGTCAAGCTTTTTATCGTAACATTTAATTTTTCATAAAAATTTGTATGTAAATAATGAAGGTTTCATCCAGGGTTAACTTGAGTCTGAAATTATGCCCCTTTACAAAACATCTATACCTAAAAGTAATCATAAAACCTGCCCAGAAGTTTCAGAACATGTTATTTAACAATGTTTTCTCAGCTATTAAAAGTTGATTGCACAATTTCTATGTTGGAAAATATGTAGTTTTAATATTTCATCAAGCAAGTTGAAAATTATAATGAAATATTATACATACACTTGGCACCATAGGAATCAGTTGGAGTGAGACATGTTTTGGACTACGAGGGACACCCCTTTTAATATCTCCAATTTTCAAAGCTATTAATTCAAAATAGTTGGGCAGATTTTATTTGTTATTATTTAACCCTTTAATTGTTGCTGAGTTTGAGTTTCATTTAAGTTTGAATATGATTTAATTTTGAGAGTTTCTCTTATTCTGGTGAAGTGTTTTCATTAGGAGTTCCATCACATTCATGATCCAAGTGTCTGTAGGTGCTTGAAGAATTACACTTTTTACTTCTTCATGAAAAAAATGATAGTTACATGTAATATGATAAGCTGTATAAAATAAGATATATATATATATATATATATCAAATTATCGTAATATTTAAGAGATATAAAACTGTCAACATGACTCTACCATCCAGTATATGTTGGTGTAAGCTATGTTCCTATTTCAAAATTGTTTCCAGAGTTATTAATGGACTTTTAAATTTTACCACAAAAAATCTCATTTTAAGTTTAATAATAGTATTTTTGAACAAATGGTTAGTTTTGTTATTGGCTCAAAATTAACATTTAATCTAGCAAGTCTGATTTTTTGTTAACATGAAAAACAATGGTTGAGTAACTATTCTGAGAAATCTAAACTCATCAGAAATCATAGTATGTTGATGATACATTTGTTATATTTAAAGGAAAATAAATAGTGCATTCTTTCTTAGAATATCTGAGTAAACCACATCCTTATATTCAATGTACAGTTGAAAAAAATAACGTATAGTTGTCTTTTTTTTAATTTAAATGTTTATAAATTTGGAGGTCATTTAGAAATAGGAATTTATCATAAATGAATTTACATAGGAATGTATAGTCATGTTGAAAGTTTTGTACCCAAGGATAATTTCAAAATGTCTAATTTTATGAAGCTTATCATATTGCCAGTAACTATTATTATTTTTATAAAGAGCAAGAAAGCTAGCAAAAAATGTTAAAAAAATGGTTTTCACCTTTCATTACTTGATAATATTTTCAAACGTTTCTTCAAGGTAGTGCACATCACCCCTTATAAAGTGAGATATGATATGCCTAAACTGTCATTTTATTTCAGTCTTCCATTGATGATTAAAGACTGCTATGTGTTGAGAAATAGTATCAAAAATATCTTAAACTATCCAAAAATTTTAGTATGTACAGATTTCAAATCATTATTGAGACTTGAGAACTTTAATTTCAACACTGACATTATTTATTGATATGTTTGTTCTTGATGTGGACAAGATTGTGTAGGATTAACCAAGCATTTCTTAGAACAGTGTATAAAAGAGCATCTGAAACCTATTTCTGGTTAGTATTCAAACATATGCAGACACTTTAATCAAGAATGTGATAAAACTGCTGAAAAACAACAACTTTACCAGTCTATATAGTTCCAGCAGCACACAAGATATCAAAATAAAAGAAACTCGGGTGATATTATTTGACTGTTTGCATTTTGCTTATGTACCACATTTTGAGTTTTTGCTAACTGATGTTATTGTTTATTACAGTCCAAGTGTGCATTTAGTTTTGTAACAAAGAATGTGAGACGTGTTGTCCTAAACAATATCGCACACATGTAATATGTTACATTATATGTAGGGTATCTCATTCACCTATTTCAAACAGCTACGGGTGTATAACTTGAAAGTAAAAAAACATATAAGGTCAAGACTAATGATAAATTTTTCTATTGTATGTGCAACTACAGACAACACATTTACAAAATACAATAGTATACATGGTAATATGAACATGTGCAAGTTTTTGTAACCACAAATTCTAGATTCAGGATAATCTTTGACTTTAGCTGACTCAACTATAGCTAATAGCTGTTAGCCATTTCAGTTTCAAGTCAGATCAAGAGACTCGAGTGAACAAAGCACCTGCATAGTACAAACTGTGCATGACCTAGTATGTAGCATACTTTGACTGTGGAATCAAGTGTTCAGAGTTCACTGTCTGTTGCCACAAAAAAATGTGCTAAGCATTTGGGGGGCCGTTAGTGCACCAAAATAGTGATGTCAAATCTGACAATTCGAGAGTTGATGACTAGTAATGTCGATCAGTTGTTTTCCATCTAACCTATCAATCTAAATTAGGGAAGGCTAGTGCAAATAGCCCTTTATGTAGCTAGACAATCAGTAGAACTTCTTGCATATGGAGCTGACTTAATGTTGTATCTTCATTTTGTGTTCTCTTTCAGAGTTATTGTGTATTGGCTCTCTTAAGTTCCCCCCTTACTTCTACTAGTGGAGCTCGGGAGTCCTTACCACACCCAGTTACTGTGGTGGTGGACAGAGGATTTACCTTTGGAGTGTTGAGTTTTATCCCATCCCAGAGAAGAGGGCAAAGTTGGGGACCCTCCTACCTGGGTCCCTGGAAGTTTTTTCCCAGATGTCGGAAGGAGCAGGACCAACCTACATGGGAGTCTACTCGTAAAACCAGTCCAGATTTGATGCTTAGCTATCCAGTGGGGTGTGCTTGAAACCTGTTATGAACACTGTCATGTCTTATGTTGTTCATGCAGGGAGTCCACTATCTCCTTGTAAATCCAAATGCTGTCCCATCTTTGGTCCTTGGTGGGACAGTATTCAACATCCTCTCTTTAATTCTATGGGTAAGTGGAATTCTCCTTGCCCACTTGGTGGGGGAGTAAAGACAACTGTTTTCAAGTCCAGACTGGATGAGTTCTGAACTTTGGAGTATGGCATATAATCCCATCAATCCAGACTTGGGCTGTTGCCTTTTGGACTTCTTCAGGTTGATCAGAA